GTGTGTGTGCGTGTGTGTGTTGCCTCTGTAACGAGTCACTTTGCAAACTCTCTGCTTTGCCACGTGACTCTCTGCTGAAACACAGCTCCGTGTTCTCGCCAACAGAGAGCCACACATGTACCAGCTCGTCCAGGAGTATTAATTTGCTGAGTAAATCTGCAACAGTGATGCACTCAGCCTCTAAATTCACTACGGAAACATTAAAATGGGCCTCAAGTTCTTTTGTTCAACATAGAAAGTTATTAGAAAAAAGTACTGTATCCTAAGAGAGCCGGTGTTGAATTTGATGAGTTTTTACGACTACTGATATTCAGTGATTTGAAGAATATGTTGAATTTTAAACACCACGACTGAACTTTATTCTGCCGATACTCAATCTACTCAATAGAAGGAAGCAGGGAAGAAGCAAAAAGACAAAGGATTTCATTAAGAGAATAAAAAAAGAGCTGATGACGGGAGAGGGAAAGGCTAGATAGAGAGATGAGCTCAGTAAAAGTTATAAAAAGAAGAGAAAGATTAAGAGTTGGTGTTTGTATACTGTATGATGCTGTACCCATTATCTAACACTGTAAAACTTCTGACCTCACAATGGAAAATGACAGAACTGTGCCCTTAACAGTGCCCTAAAACCCAATGTCAAAGAGAAAAAAGAGAAAAGAAAACATCTATCCAGCGAATGATCGAGAATATTCATATTCATTTTCAGTATAAAAGTGTTTTTGGTCAAACGTCTGTGTTAGGTGGCAGGGTATAAAATCTACAAAGTGCACAAAGAGAAGCTATCTCATAGCTCCGACACACACACCCACCCTAAACTACTATCCTAGACTACTGCGTATGTGCATGTGTGTGTGTGTGTGCGCATATATGTGTGTGTGCATATATGTGTGTGCCTGTGTGCATATATGACCCTGTATAGGAGTTTAACTGTAACACAGGGCAGTAGGAAGCATGCAGTATGACCTGAAGGCTAGCTAAGAGAGGAAGCAAGGATGCTATACTGTATTTCTGTAGATCTAGAAACACTAGAACACACACCGTCATCCTGATAGGCTTTTACTGGCGGCCATGTTTGGTCCATTTTTTGGAATGTTCAATTAGGTGACATCAACAATAACAAACAGTCGGTAGTTTTTACTTCCTCCCTCAAAAACAGACACAGTGTGTGTGTGTGTGGTCGAGTGTTTGTACATCTGCGGGCAGGAGCTGATTCACTTCTCAGACCTTTGTCCTGACCGGCTGCCCGCCGTCCCAGTCTAGTCTATTACAAATATAGTAATTTTCATTCAAGTCAAGGATTACTCTAGTGTAGTTTACTACTCTTTAAGCCATGCTGGCAGTGCAGTTTGGAGGCTCAGACAACATACGGGTTGACTGCAGAAATCATAGTGCAACAGGAGAGTCCTGGAGAGGGTCGGGTGTGTTTAGTTGAAATATGTGTTTGTGTGTAATCTCAGAGAGAAAGGGGTTGTCTGTGTCCCCTTCATTTCCAAGAGGCTGGTGAGAGGGCAGGACAAGTCGGCTCGTCTTCCAAACACACTGTTGTATCTTCCATCTGATCCCACTGTTGGAGTTAGACTCCGTGTACAGTGTCCCTCTTATTCCACCAGGATTTCGATCTGTCTTGTCAGACTTATTGTCAGTTTGTGCCTCGTTGCCCACAGCTTGAGGCTAGTACACACACTGACACTCACACACACTTTTCATCTTGTATTGTGCCTCCAGGTGTCCCTGTGGCCTCAACCCTGCCCTACAGAGGGTGTGATAAAGAAACAATGATTTATTTACTCAGCATCACCATTAACCTTTTAGTCAAGAGCAGAACTTCCCTATCTTTCACCTGTGTGCGTGTCTGTGTGTGTGTTTCTGTATATGTGCTTAGAATCAGAGCTGCCTGGTCCGGTCACACACACCTCTGTCTTGCATGCGTGTGTGCTAGTGTGTTTCAGTGAGAGTAAGTGTATCGCATGTGACTCTCAGACGTCAGACTCGATGCTGGGCATGCGGCGGTAGAGCCGGGGCCTGTTGCCGCCTGCGCTCGAGGCTCGCGGTGCTGTCACATAGCTCATTGGCTGAGAGGCAGCAGGTGGGACCATGTAGGCCACCATGGGGGGCTCCTGTTGAGGGTAGAACACCTGTTGGTCGACATGGCCGCCATGCTGGTTGTTGTGATGGCTGCCATGGTTACCTAGGGTAAGCGACAGCGGCATTCGCTGCTTATAGAGCTCGTGGGCGGAACTTCTCTGTGGCATGCGTGTGACAGCCTGGGGGGCGGGATCTCGTTGTGTCGTGCCAGGGGCTGACTGGAGGAAAGGGTTGTGAGAGGGACGATCAGGGAAGAGACTCTTTGAGCGCCGGGGGAGGGGCATTGGGGTGTCCAGACTATGGTGATGGGAGGGTGACGGAGAGGGGGGGCTGCGGCTGCTGAACGGACGATCAGAGCGCATTGTGAGAACATTAGCATAGGCCCCCTCGTCCAGGGTCAGCTCCCGTTCCCTATCTCTGTCAGGCAGGCTCAGCCCCCGCAGGTGGGTGTGCTGCTGCGGCTGCCGCTCCGGAATACCGTCTGGAAGCACGTTCTCATAGGAGTGCTGACGACTCAGCTGAAGGTGCTGGGCCGACGAGGAGGTGGGCAGAGGAGATGGTGAGGATGGGGAGGGCTCGAAATGGCTGACTAGCCCGTCCCCTTCGCCCACCAGGCCCAGCTCACTCTGGGGAAGGTAGTGTGTAAACATGTCCCCGCTGTGTGGGTGCGTGTGCGTGTGGGAGTAGTGTGAGTGCAGGTGATCTTCGCTGATGTCGTACAGGTTCCCCAGGTGGGCGCAGGCATCACAGCGGGCCTGCGGCGAACGGACAGTGTACAGGCCGGAGTAACCACTCAGCTTGGTCAGGCAGGAGCGACAGTGGCCGGGCCTGACGGCCTGTGTCCCCTGTCCTGCACCTGGAGCATCGAATGAACCTCCAGCCTTGTCCTTCCCACTGAAGGGACAGAGAATGACACTGATTACACACACAAAAAAAACATAAAATCACTTAAACATGGTTATTTTATGCTGAACAGGATACCTGCTGTGTGTGTACGTGCTGTATTTCTTGTCCTTCAGAGAGTGCAGGTCAGCCTCAGCGCTGTGACTGTGGTGCAGCAGGCTGGCGCTCAGCTGCAAAATGGGTGCGTCTGCCTGGTGTGAGTATGTGCTGTCAGGTGGAAACAGGTCAGGGGGGTAACCGTGGTCGTCACCTCCCCCCTGGCTGTCTCGCTGGTAGGGGGGAGCGGACTGTAGACTGGCCTGGTCAGAGTCAATGGAGTAGATCTTAGATCCTCCGCCCCCACCTCCTCCTCCCCCACCCCTCTTCCTCAGCTGATTGATAGGCTTGAATCCACCCCTCGCCCCCATGGAATCAGAATCTTTGTGTGACGGCGGCCGGCTGGAGCACTCTGAGATGTCAGAGTGCGGCGGCTCTTCAGGCAGGTAGCGCTGGCTCTTCATTGGTGGAGGTCCCGGGCCAGCTGTTGGGGAGGGGCTTGGGCCGGGGCCTGGAGATACAACAGTAGGTTGGGTCTTCAGTGTCTCCACACTTTTCTTCCACAGGGCTCGTGGTTTTGACGCAGCGCAGGCCGGCCCGGCGAGGCGGGTCTTGCCGTTGTCGTTGGTGATTGACAGCTGGGGCTTGTTGGGGCTGGTCTGAAGAGTGGGGGCTTTTTGTTGTACGGGAAATGGCGCAGCGTTGTTGAGGAGGTTTTTGTGTCGCCCGGACAATGACAGGAAACCCTGTGGACCAGCGGCGTTGCTATAGAGACCAGGACCCTTCGGGGGCAGACTATGGAGTGAGTTACCTAGGAGACAAGGAGAGATGCACCTCAGACAGCAAATACAATAGATGGATGTTTGGATGGATGCTCCGCCAGTTAGCTGATACATTATCTACTGCCCTGGCACGCTGTGTGTGCCATCTAATGTGTTTCTAATCATGAGGCGAGCTTATATATGACAGTCAATTATATTACGGTCTGGAGTCCAAAACAAGGTGAACGGAGTCACCTTTAGATCTGCATCCGTATGCAGTATAGAAAAGGTAGGGTAACCTCTGTACGTGTGAGCAATCCTATCACAGGTACCTGCACTGTGAGGGTAGAATCTATGCGTTTTGCTATAAATCTTATTAAAATGTGTAACAGAGTTATAGTACCTTTCCCCGTCATGACATCTAGGATGCTAGGCTGCAAGAGGACAGTGTTGCGTTTGGGAGAAGACAAAGCCATTGACTTGGCAGACTTGAGCAGATGCAGCATGTTGGCTTGAGGACTGAAGTCGAGCTCAGGATTCCTTTTCTTCATGTCTATATGAACGCCATGGATACAGCTCCATATACCCTGAGAGAAGGAGAGGAGGGGTAAGGAAAGAAAAGAGAGGGGAGAAAAGGAAGGAGAGTGATGAGAGAGATAATAGAAGTTAATTCCCAATCCAATGACTTCACGAAAAGAAAGTTCAAACACGCACAACACTAATTTCCTTGCACAGTAAATTAGAAAAGACCTCTGCATCCTTCTTTCCAGTGCGTTCACTGCAAACCTTCACCTCATTTTATTTTGTAATGTGGCTAAAAGAGATAATCACCACTTTTTTAGATGAACTGCTTTCAGAGGCGCCTAGAAAATTTAATTTAGGTGATGATGTCACTGGAGGGGGCCTTGAGTGCAAGGAGATGTTCTTCCCGGAGCCACTTAACCTCCAGTATCGCTGCTGTAGCGGCTTGCGCTCACCGAGAGACCGACAGACACACACACTCACAGACACACATCGCACACTTTTTGTAAAACACTTAATGTGTGAAATGCTGCTCGTCTGGAATAAAAGCCCTGCCTAACACAGAGACATGACATATGAATAATGAAAGAAAGGTCTGTCTGGGTGTGCCCATTTCGGTTTTGTGTGTGTGTGTGTGTTTGTGTGTGTGCATCTGTCTATCTGCCGGACCCTGCGTGTGTGTGGCCAAGTCTGTCCATCACCTCACTGCACCTGCATACGTATGTGTTACCATTTTTAACTTTGCTGGACCAGACTCGTGTATGTATGTGTGGGTGAGAGAGAGAGAGAGAGTGTGTGTGTGTGTGTGTCCACATCATCCTCTTAGCTGTTTAAATCCTCTATCCTGTCGTCCATATGCACAGCAGTAAATTCATCTCTACCTCAGCTGGGCTCTATATTCACACTAACCCCCCCTCTTTCCTCTTTTATCACACAATCCCAGATCCAGAACAGTAACTATTATGTGTGTTTCAGATGTATGTATCTCACACAGACACAAATGTCCACAGGTTTATAGTTTCTCTTAAGTGTAACACTCATGTGAGTGTCATTCTGACACTATTAGGCATTCACACAACTAAAAGTCCCTTTTTGCACATTCCTATTTGCATTTTCACCGCATCTGAAGAACCATGAAGATTAGACAAATTACACAGATAAAGAATTAAAAATCCACTGCTTTGTTTGAGATGTAATTTTTTGCACACAAGACAGCAGCAGAGTAATCGTTCATGTAATTTACTGTGTGATGTCTGAATTGATTTTGTGAAACACCACAAAGGCTTGACTGCCGTTTTCAAAGTTGCAATAATGTTCTGAGGTTCTTTTCTCTTATTTTTCTGCTTCAGTATGTAACCACATTGAAACAATCTGCTAATACAGTGAAGTTTTGTTTCTCTTGCTGAGTCTTTGTGTATTTAGCCCGCTCTCGTTTGATCTCATTGTCTTTTAGAGTGGTCGGCAAGCTGGCTTTTACGTCAATAACAATACAAGAAATTCCCATCCCGAGTCCTAATACTGATATTTGAACAATGTGCAAGTGCTTGCTTACATTCTGAATCAATGCTGTACATCAATTGTTGCACTCCTGAGGATAGTGCTTGATCAGTAAGCGGTGCTCAGCACTGCAAATCCTAACAGCAACATCTGAAAGTATTACTTTAGACGCAGAGGGGGTCAAAAACTGCTACCCAGGAATCAGAACTAGATTGCTATTAAAATGCAGGTAGGTTCCCAAGTTCCTGGGAAAGGCTACTGCTGTGGAAATAGGTTATCAGATAAATTTTCTTCTCCTCACCCTGCTGATAGTGAAGAGCAGACCCGGCCTCCCAGTGCAGACCCCAGTGAAGCAGTATCTCAGCCTCCAGTAGAAAAGGTGTTCAGAGATGAAGGTGAGGATGGACAGGCCCATGGCTGTGGCCAGCATGTAGAAGACACCTGCCATGTTGTCCACGTCCAGCTGGCTGGACATCACCTCGTTCTTCTCATTGTGACAGATCCCAGTCAGCCACTGGGCCTCCAGCTCCTCCATCTCACCTGTTGGGTGCAAAAAAAAGGCAAAGTGAAGGTTTAAGATAGCAGGTACGGGTGAGGAAACAAGGTAAAGGAATAGAAGGAGGGAGAGAGAAAAATAGATGGAGGGGATGGGCGGTAGTGGGAATAAGAGAGGTGTGGTGGGAAAAAGAGCATATTATTACGAGGGAAGATGGAGTGGAAAAGGGAGGAGGGGAGAGAGGTGAAGTGGTAAATAGATCGTAATGGAAAGGAGACAGAAGGGGGAGTGAAAAAAAGGTTGTAGGAGGAGGGAGAAGAATTGATAGTGATGGAGTGATAAGGAAAGATGGGAGGAATTATTATCAGACTAAGCGTGTTTGTGTGTCGCATGCACATGCGGGCATTTGCCCTGGATAAAAAGGCCGGGTGTGAAGCGAAGCGCTTTAGTGGTTTCAGCAGTTTGATTTCTGTCTGGCTCATTCTCTTTCTTCCATTCGCACCATCTCACAGCTTATTATACAGAACAATCTGGAGGAGTAAACATACCAGGACACGGTGGACACACACCAACACCTACACACACACACACACACGCACACACATACCCACACAGAGTAATGATGATGAAATGGTGTGTTAAGACTAGCCCCTGATAGCTTTCTGACAGAGGGAGGGAGGGAGGGAGAGTGTTGGGGGAGGGGGAGGTAGGAGGGAAAACTGAGCAGTAGCACAACTGTAATAACACTAAAGGCCGGGAACAACTTAAAAATTTAAACTTCAAGGCAGTGTAACAGAGATGGTGCAGAACGTGAATCCCTGTAAGTGTCTCACCATCTCCTATGATGCCCAGTATGGCCAGATCAACCAGTCGTTTCCAGTAGGATCCTTTCTGCAGGGCGATACCATAACCTGTCGTGGCAAAGATGTAACCGCTGCCGATGGTGACCAGCTTACAGCCATCGTCTCTTCCCGCCATGTAGTTCAGCACTGCGGCGTCGTAAATGAAAGCATCCAGCTTTCTGTAAGAGGACAACACATTCTGGATTTACTATCTAGATGAGGGGTTTCTAGCCTGTGGGGTGGGACCACCCAAAGGTTTGCATGATAAATCTGAGGGGTTGTAACATGATATGAAAGGATAGAATAAAATATACATATTTCTGCCACACAAATGTATTTCTTCTCACTTTTCTGATAAACTGAATCATTTTTCCTATTCAGGCCTCTAAAAACTATTCAGTTAAACTATTCAAGAAGGAGACATCAGTTTTGGGCTGTTTGCAGCTCATAAACATACCCAACCTGTGAGAAGCAGCTGTAAGTAGAATTTTTTTTTGAAATTTTAAGTGTGATATTCACTTTCATGCAGAGAGATATATTCTTCCTAGAGTCTCTTCGTCACAGAGACTCCAGGAAGCCAAACGAACGAAAAAAAACCCTGTAAAACCACAAGCTTTTTCGCACTTTGTTTAATTACAAGGGGAACTTTGGGGCTGTTTTATGTAAGAAATATCATTAATTTTTTTTTGGAATTCGCTTTCCCGCCAAGAGTTACATAAGAAGATTAATACAAACGACAATCCTTTTTACATTTACAACGGATTAAACAAACATGTTAATTAGTGAGCTTAAGAGCTGGTGGTTGGATTTTGTTACAGAATTTGCACAGGGTCAGACTAACTAAGTTTGTCTAGCAATGGTTCCTGAGTAGTTCTTGAAAGAAAGTTGATGTTGATGAAAGAAAAACCTTTTAAATGAAAGAATCTCAGAAGAAAAAAAATCTCATATTTTGAACAGGCAAGTAGACATTGCTCACAAGCCAAAGAGGTCACCAGTTAATGGAGGCACATATTTTTCCGTCTTATGTCTCTTTATGTCTTATCTAAATGTTTTTAAATTGAAAATTCTTAACAATTCCATGTTATATTAACAATAACAATTATAATGCATTTGGGGTTTGTCTTCATTTGATGGTAAAAGAAGAGTGACATTTGATCCATCAGCCTCCAGTACTTAAGACCACAACACTGTTGAGTCTTCACTCCTGAGCCTACCGTTACAGTGCTGTGACAGTAACAATGTTCCTCAGATCCATGAACAAACCAGTTGGTTTACTCCAGACACTCTGTTATCTTGGAGCTGTAATTCTCAGCTTGGACTCGGGCTGTGACTGAGAGTACTCTCCGGTGTGCATGCTGGTTCGGTAAATATTCACACACACGAGGATGTCTTTGTTCGCACTGAGCTATAATCTTTTACTCTTAGGCTTTGTCATTATTCTGACATGACAAGTTGAATTCAAACTAAGGGGCCACAATTTGTATCTGACGAGGCAATCCCCCTGTGTGGGCCTGATACATCTGAGCTCAGCAAAAACAGAAGTCTGATGTATGACTGTTAACCAAACACAATGTAACAAAGAGCCAATGCCACTAGCATATATAGCAGCAGAACCCTGTGTATAACTACATGATGAGCAACAGAATAGTTATACATAACTCAATGGATACACCCTGGTGCTTAATCAATCCCCCAGGGCCCCTCCATGTTAGATATGTATGCATTAACATAAAACACTTTGAATTAAACTGTTCACCAAAGGGCATATGTTAAATGGAGTCGTTGAGGATCTGTTGTTTGAAAACTGCACAAAGAATTTCAGACTATTCGTTCCTTTAAGTGCACATGGCATTTGAAAACAATATACAGTAGATTCATTAAAGTATAGAGCATTTTTAATGTGTACTTTGTGTGAGAGCATATTTTACGACTTGACTGAAATTTTGACTACAACTCCGACTTTCTTCTGCATAAGCAACCAATTTTGCTGAAGAACTGAATTAAACACAGATGATTCTGCTGAACACATTAATTATGCAGTTTTTTATGTTGATGTTATAAACAATGCCAGACATATGAGATATGAGAAAAAAAAAATCCTATTTGATATGCAATATCAATGAAGTAATTGCAAAGAGGGAAAAGCAAAAATGTTAAATAATATTTGGAGAAAATACCCTAGATCAAAGCACACAAAACTAATGAACAAATAAAATCACTGCAGCTATCCCTCCATTACTGTGCGTTTAGGAGAGAGAATAAAGGTAGCAAACTCCAGAACAAATTACACTCTCCCTGTTTTGGCAGCTTCCTCTTTCTAGCAGCAACAAGACTCAATAATGAGCACTTGCAGACAGCGCCTGCATTTTACCGTCAGTGACAGAAACACTGTGCACAGTTACTGCAGCATTTTAGCATGAGCTAGAGCTGGGCCCCATGGGGCTGGGTTTCTGTGTGATGCAATGTCTTTTTATTGTTCGTTTTCACATGTTCTTAAGTATTTACCCTGTCTGCAAACAGAATTACCCTCTCAGGTATAATAAATCTCAAGTTGATGTGAGTGGGCTTGACAAGTTTACAGTACCCAGTCTTGAGGCTGACCAGCGCATCCTGGACGCCACTCTGATGGTATTTGGTCATGTACTGATGCATATCTGGATAGTTCTTCCTGATGTTTCGCTCGGTGCTGCCGTTAGGAACCGTCCCGAAGCGAAATGGAGGGGAATAGGAGTTTGGACTCTGGAACTGCAGGGAGAGAAAGAAGGAGAGCAAAAGAGAGACAGATTGTTTAAAGAGGGAACTGACAAGAGGAGACAGGAGCACAAAAAAGGAAAAAACGAAATAAAAACAGAGAGGCTTAAACACAAACAGCTTGAGTGAGAGACAGCAAGAAGAGATAAAAGGCAGGGGAAGAAAGGGAGTCCAAGTTGAAGAGGGAGCAAAAGTGTTAAAGTGAAGGAGAGACACACAGAGAGGAGGAAAAGTGGAGAGTGACAAGAAGAGACAGAGGAGAAAGGAGGAGGGAGAGACAGTGGAGTGGACTCATCAGTCATCATCATTGTGTGTCCAGTCTAGCGTAAGACTGGCTGGGGTTCTGCTGACACTGCCAGCCTCTGCAAACTACATGCGCACACACACACACACACACACAACCAAACAAAAACACACACACATGTCTTTGATCTATGCAGCCTGTGTGTGTATGTGTGAGTCTGTGTGCGCCTCTGGGTCTGCTGTGCTGGCAGAGTTAGTGTGGTGACAGCTACGGCCAGAGGGTTTGGGCTGTTGAGGCCCAAGGGCACTCCCTGGAGAGTCCTGTCTGGCCGCAGGGCTGGCATCCATTACAAGAGCAACCCTGACGGTGAATGCGCTTAGTTTCTTCTGTGTGTGTGTTTCTGTGCGTCAATATGTGTGCAATCCCACCTTCTTGTCAGACAGTCCAGTGACTTGGTCCACAAACTCTTCCTGGATCATGAAGGCAGCCAGGTTGGCAGTGTAGGAGGCCAGGAAGATGACAGCAAAGAAGGCCCACACTGATACGATGAACTTACTGGTGGTGCCCTTTGGGTTCTGCACAGGCACAGAGTTGTTGAACACCAGACCCCACAGCAGCCATATGGCCTTACCAATGGTGAATGACGGACCATGTGGGTCTGAGAGAGAGAGACAGGGGAGCAGAGGGAGAAAAAAAAAGAAGAAAGGCCAAGACAGGTAAACCTTAAATGCAAATTTTTAGCTGACACTACAAGTCTTATTTTGGGAATGAATAACAGCCGGTAAACAATATAAATGATTGTATTTCCCTGAAATTCTTACTGTTGCCTACCAGCAGCTGGAAAAAACGCTGAGATGTGTCTTTACAGAGTTTCTAATTTTTGCAAATCCTCATACATCCCACCAGTTTTTTAACTACAAATAATCTTCCAAAAGAAAAGGTAAAACAAAAAGGTCCTAGCAGCCAGTTTGAGAGCATCATGCTTCCTTCAGAGGGGTGACACTGTAAATATAATTTATCAGTATTATTTATTCATGGTTATTTATGCCTGCAGCTCACTAATTTCAACGGTCACTGTGGACAACAATTTGCTTTGGTTATGAGCATAGGGGAAGAGAAAAACTTATTTTGGCCAACTAGACAGACCTTTATTTTAGCAAGTCAATAAACTAAACTAATGTTGAGAGTTAGATGAGAAAATTGATACCACTCTTGTGTCTGAACCATAAATATTGTGCAATAACCAGCAGCTAGTTAGCTTAGCTTATCTTAGTAGCTATGGAGATGGGTGCTCGATGTGAAGCAGCAAGAAGACACTGTTTGCAACCACAGTGACTCCCATAGAGGTCAGTGTAGATGTTGCTAGCATCAATTATGTCAGTACTGGAGAGTAATTTGTTCATTCAAAGAAGAGAAAAGAACGGCACTGAAGGCTTTTCTCAAAGGAACAGAGGTTTCCGCCCTTCTCCTGAATGACTGGCTTCGGTAAAAGTTTGAATTGGTCATATAGTTAATTGATCTGATTGGTTGAAGTTCGCTCATTATAGACGGTGACAGATAGATAGATAGGTAGATAGATATTCCTTTATTTGTCCCACAATTAAGAAATTCTAATGTTACAGCAGCAAAGTGGTTAGAGAAAAAACAGTATAAAAAACAGTAAGAATCCACAACAACAGATAAACAGATGGTTCATCCAATTACATGCCAAGTATTCTTTTTAAACACAATATCTCCAAACAGCTTTCAACAACCACTTTCCAAATGGTTCTGTGTACCAAACCATCTGGCGCAGTCAAGTTAGGTATCAACATGTTGGGTTATTTTTTTGCTACAGCGTACAGAGCGTTTATTTCTGGCATTTCTCGTTAAAATTAAAAAATTGCAAACTTAACGCAATGTGTAGTTTAAAGGAAAATCAAAGAAAAAAACATAGTTCACTTGCTACACCTGAATTGGCCTTTAGCTCATTTAAATGTTAAATGAATCTAAAATGTAATTTTGGGTGTACATAATTAATCTCTAATTCTCAGCCAGCAGGGCAGCTGCAGGTTCAGATTTTTGATGATACCTCAGATTAGAGTGTTGGAGACTTGCTTTGGGAGTGAATTGTTAATGCTCTGTAACATTAACTGATCCGTCTAAAGACAGAGTAATATTAGGTTACTTCTTTCGCTCCGGGGTAAGATTGGATTTTTGCTTCTTGCTCTAGGAAGGAGCAATCGGTGTGATATTCCTGATCGTGTGTGTGTGTAAGCCTACCTTTGCCTTGGGCCAAGTTGCGGTTGAAGCCCAGCGGACTGACAAACTCAAAGAGGAAGACGGCGATGGCTGTGACGATGAGCAGCATCACAAACATCATCACCCACACTGATGCACTGAAGGGCTCTGAAAGAGAGAGAGAGAAAGAGAGAGAGAGAGAGAGAAAGGGAGAGAAACAAATACATAAGACAGACAGACACCGTGGAGGAGCAGGAGATGCATAAAAAGTGAGGGATGGAGAGAAAGAGGAGACAGACTCAATAAAAGAGAACAGGGACGAGGGGGAGATAAAGCGAGGAAAAGATGATAGAGAAGACACAGAGAAGGGGGGAAAGGGAGACAGACAGCGTGAGAGGGAGGGGAGGAGAGGGAGAGTTAGTCACAGAGAGTTTGACGGAGCACATTTCCATATTTCTCATTATTCCCTTGGATGAGAGCTGAGAGAGGGAGAGGCCTGGGGCGGGGGAGATGGTAGAGGAAAGGGGGGGGGGGAGAGAGAGAGAGGGAGGGGTAGAGAGAAGAATCCAAACTCCAAGTGATCTGATGTGCCCTGCTGTGGGCATGTGTATGTGATCTAGTTGTGTGTGATCTGTGCATGTGTATGTGAGAGAGTGTGAGTCTGCATGTGTTTGGTGTGCAGCAGGGCAGGAGTTCAGAGCGCGGGATGAGTGCCAGGGATGCTGAACCCAGACAAATTGTATGTACGCGTGGTTGTCGCTGTGGTGGTTGCGTGTGCTGTCTGCTCTGCTCTGTGTTGGGTGTCGTTCTGTCTGCCTGTGTGGTGTGTGTGTCTATATGTGTAAGTATGTGACTGCCAGGGTTAGCCAACCCTGAGAGATTGTGCACTGAGGTGCCTCTAATATGAGTGCGAGAGATACTGAACCGTCACTGATACCCTGGCCCAGGCTCAACACACACACACTCACACAC